CACTCTCCCAGGGAATACATGAGCCTGGTTACAGGGACAGCACTGACCCAGGACTGCTGCACCAGAGCTGCACCCTGGCTGGGGGGCAGAGGGGGAGCTCAGCCAAGCAGACACAAAACGCCCTCAGGGCTGGACCCTACTAGAACAGACCAAACACCTTAGACTAGAACTTAGAAACATGACTTTATCTGGGAACTGAGCTTGCAGGGCTTCTGAACAGATGCTATTTTTCACCATACAGGCACCAGTGAAGCTGTTCATTAAATGCTACTATCTAGTTGCATAAGATCATAACACTTTTGCTGGAATTCCATTTGTAAATGCTAAAATCAAAATTAACTCTCTACTACAAAAGCTGTGAGAATACAAAAATAAAGGAGTAGGAAGGAGTACACACATTTTTACAAAAAACATATGTGTGATATTAATCTTTTCCTATCTATACTTCATCTTTTTGCTCTTGAAAATAAGATGAGTTAGTCTGTGACCGTGTCTGTTTTCTGAATATCAATGGCCATTGTCCTTAATGAAGCATCTACACATATTAAAACTCACTTTTTCATGTTATAATTTTATTTGGTCTTTCTGTGCAAGGATAAGTATTCCCACAGAACAGAGTAGGTTTAGACTCAACATTAGGAAGAAATTCCTTACTGTGAGGGTGATGAGGCACTGGAACACATTGCCCAGAGTTGTGGATGCCCCATCCCTGGCAGTGCTCAAGGCCAGGTTAGATGGGGCTTTGAGCAACCTGGTCTAGTGGGAGGTGTTCTTGTCCATGGCAGGGGGTTGGAACGAGATGGTCTTTAAGGTTCCTTCCAACCCAAACCATTCTATGATTCTATGATTAAACCAAACTCCAGGGCAGTTCTTGAGGTGAGTGTGAAGTCCTGCTCCCAGGGATTTAACCATGTACAGGATATAAATGGAAATTCTCTATACTCTTCAAAAGTTCAGCCAAGTGATCTTCAATCTTACCCTGTAACACAAACCACTGGAAACTGAGAAAATACAGAGAATCTTCTCACACAGACAAAAAATACTTTTTTCTAACTTTGGTGGTGGGAAAAAAAATCAAATGGTATATGTATCCAAGTACCTTAAATAAAGCAATTTTCTCCTCTCATTTCCATTATTCATAAAATTGCTTTCCTTGATTTAAAGAGCACTACAAAATCACTGGCAAGTCATTCATACTCTTAATGGAAGTAAGAGAGAAAGTAACTGAAGGTCTGTATGAGAAGCTCTGACAACCAAACCCTCATTGTTCAAGAGGACAGAAAAGAAATATCCTGCATTTGCTCAGGAGAGAGGGTGAATGACTCCAGTGTATGTGCTCCAGCACCTGTATACTGCCCACATCCTGCTTGTCACTGGAAGTGGAGCACTGTCAGCACAGCTGTGGGTGCAGGAAGGGCAGGGAGACAAGGAAGAACCTGGGTCACCCATTGGGCCACCAGTGTCCACCAAGATGCTGCAGTGGATATGTCAGTCATGACAGGGAAATCCCAGCCTTATGGCACATCTCCCATGCTTCTTGGGGGAGCAGGGAGACATGGCATACCCATGCACTGTTCCTGCAGTTCTGCATCACAAATCTCAGCTCACTTGCACTAAAAGGTGCTAAGATCCTCTGTCAAGACAGAAAAACAAAAGAAACAATTCTAACAGAGGGCAGGCTGCCAGTTCTGCTGAAGGGAGAGGCTCCCTGCCTGCTGGCAGCTGAGTCACAGCCCAGCTCCTTGCCCAACCCTTCACAGCTTCAGCAATTTCCTGAAGTCTTGAAGCTGGCATGTACCTGCAATTTAAAAAAATCTCTTATGCTTCCAGAGGAGGTAATTATGACCTGCCACTCCTATCCCATCACCTGGAACTGGACAGTGACATCTCCCTGTCTCCTAGATCACTGACTGCAGGGATCATGTTGGACTCATGGCTTGTGGTCTCAGTGGTGCATCCAGAGAAGGCCTCTCAGCCTTGGTGCCAGGGCTGTGGGCCAGAGCTATCCTCTGGGAACTACTGGTGCTCTGGCCCACAGCTGAGCTATGGTCCCTGCAGTGGTGCAGCCAACCTGCAGGCAACACAGATGGCAGGGGAGCCCCAGCACACCTCCAGGGAGGTCCCAGTGTGACGGCTGGGGCTGCCCTGCTCCCCTGACTGGGGCAGTGGAATGGGTCTGGGCTGCCAGGCCCTGCCCTGATGGGCTTCTTTAGGGAGCTCCTGCTGCTGTGTCCTGGCATGGCTAAGCACGTGCTCTCCATCCAACACCTAGCTTACTCTGGCTCAGCACAACTGCAATTCTAGATGCAAGCCTGGGTATCTGAGCCTTCTGGGTTGAATTAAATCCCTTCCACAACTGGAAGTCCTGTCCCACTGAAGAGCCCTGTCCCCCATTTGCAGAGGTGCAAATCTTCTGCAAATTGCAGAGAGGCTGGCTCCTCCCAGCCCAGGGTGCTTCTTACATGGAAGTATCTCCAGTGGGCACAGCACACCTGGTGCAGGGGGCTGCCACACTGCAACATGACTGACAGATGTGCCCCCATGGGGGTACTCCACAGTGGCAGCACCATGGTCCCACCCCACCACCCAAGCAGGCACATCTGGTGGAGCACACCAGCTGGAAGCACCCGCAGGATGCTCAGACCAGCTCCTGACACCACCTGTGATCTACAAATTGGGAGCTACTAAAACAGACAAACAGAGCAAATGGAGAATCACCACCAGAACTTCTCAGATTTTTCAGTGTTTAACCTACTTATTGCTCAGAAGACAAACCAAGCTTTAAAAGAGGTCTCTGGAGTAAAACAATATAGTTAAAAATAACAGATGACTGTTAGGGAAGATCATTCCTCTCTTGTGAGCAATAGCTGGAAATTATTATCTCTGTTTTAATGGTACAAAACAAAAAAGGAAAGACACAGAGAAACTCACTGAAATCAGTGGAAGAATCTCTCTCATTCCATCTGAATTTGAATTCAAGAACTGTAACTTCTCACAGCAAAAACATTAGATAAGGTTGGTAAACATTCCTGGGAAGGACACAATCCTTACGTGAAGTTATGTTTACAGAAAGAAATTAAGCTCAATGGAAACTGACACAGAAGCACACAAAATGGGACCTCTGCTCCCCAACCACTGAATCACTGGCTTTGTGCAACACACTCAAGTCAAAGCTGCCTGTTCTTCCCTGCTGAAACACTGTGAATGAAACTCAGAGTAACGCCAGAAACACTGTTCCAACAAAGCAATTCAGTCGTATCCCAAGGTATTAACATTTGTACAGCTGGGGGACAGGATTCAAGTGTCTAACTATTTACTAGATCTGTACCATAATTACCAGTTGCTTGAGCAGTAAATGCTACATTGCTCTATGCAAGAGATACAAGGATCGGAAGAAGCTCCAGGAAATATTTTCCATTATTCCATCTCATTAAGTTCCTTTCCTTTTCTCTCTCCAATCCCTCTGTATCTTTCATATTGTTTATTTTTCCAAATACTTGCCTGTGTTATGTTCGTTCCTTTGGTTGCTCTGTCCCAAGTGAAACAGCCTTGTCTTCTGCCAGCTATTTCCTTTTGTCTTGCCAATGTTACTAAAAGAGACTTTCTTGCTGGCATGCACCTCCTCCCTGACCAGCTACCCAGAACAGAAGCATAGTCAGAAAACAACTTCATTGACTGAAATGCAGCTTCGTTTCACCATGAAATTATGCACTGCTACAGCCAGCTTCTCTGGGACTTTGAGAACTGTGTGTGATGCTTACAGCCTTTATACACAGCCTGTGAGGAAAAGGCTGCATCTGTCTCCCATTTTACTTTAGTGTCCTAATCCCCATAAGGATCACATGTACATTGTGTCTACCTAGACTTCCTTCTGTGGTGGGCCTTCTTCTTGGGTCCCACAAGAGGAAATCCAAGAACAAAATAATCTGCTCCAGGCTCTTTTCACTGGATGTGCATGAAAAAACACTTTTGTCTTTACTGGGGACACTCCTTCAAATTACGCCAATGCAATCACGTACCCTTAAACTTCCTTATGATATGCTTCAGGGCATAGAGTACAAACTACACGTGCCATGATAAACCCAGAAAGCCTCGTGCAGTGAAGTTCAAGTCAGTACACACTGATTATCCCAGCAGGCAGGATACTCTCCCACGTGGTCCTCTAAGACACAAACCTTCTTAGTCAATTCAGGAACCAAAAAAATACACAATAAAGAAGACGTGCCACCAACCAAGAGAGAACTCATCAGTGATTAAATCTCTGACAAGCTTGATGCCAAAGTCAGCTTTGTCAAGAGAGACCTGTTTTCATTTAGAATCCAGAATTAGAAATCCTCTCCTGTCAATAGACTTCTTCAGCTGTACTTCAAGGTACTATCCTGAACCCTTTACTCTCTAGTCACAGGCGCCAGTAACTCTACAATGTCTGCTTAATTTTGTTAGAGTACGGTTACAAAAGCACAAATCCCTTCTCAGACTGAGAGCATTCAAGCCAGCTGGTCGCATTTTTGATGAGAATATCCTTTTACAGGAAATATACACACACAAACACTGAAGAAGTTCTACACTCCAGGGCCATCCAAGGGTAAAGTCACAGAAGAAAGACATGGATCTCAGACATATCCCAGGTCATACAGTAGTTGATGGCTTTCACCAGCAGCACTGTTTTGGACTTTGGTGATCAGTTCTGCCTCTACCCTGTCTGACAAAACAGGACAGTGGAGAAGACTGAATTCTGAACTATGCAAACATACTTCCTAGCAGCTTGAACATGCCCCATGAAAGATGTACAAGATTCCTGGAAATACTTCTCTGAGGAAGGAGGGAAATGCAAAGGTTAACGAGGCATCCTTTGGCTGCAAAGAGCAAGAAATCACCAAGAGAGTCAGCGTCATCTCTACAGCTGCAGTTCAATCACAACATAAACCACAGAGCCCTCTCTCTTTGTACATTAAAATGCTGTAATTAACATTTTCCAAGGGAGCAAACAGAGTACTTGCCTGTATTTATGAATGATGGCATTAAATAACCTTCCATCGCGCCAGCAGGTGGTGAAGTTTTCACAGCGTATTCCAGCATAACCCTCTGTTGTTTGCTGCGACCACAGGAGCAGTCTCTCTTTAGCAGACATGTCCTCTGACTCCCCAGTAACATGGATATCAGATATCTAAAACACAGTTAATGTAAAAATTACAGTTACATCTAATCCATAAGAATGTTTCAAAAATTGCAGAAAATCACTCTGCATTGCTGGAGAATTTATTGTCTGGTATCTGCATGCATGAATGAGAAGATTATTCAGGTACTGTATTAATATTCTTTCATGCCTTATCCTTATGCACTCTCAGTATCTTCAATATGAAATACAAAATTCAGTTTTCTTCAAAATTCAGTTAGACAGTTCTCAGTCTCTTAATTTCTGGGGACAATGTAATACTATTACATAAAGCAAAATACTTAACTGTTTATTTTGTTATGCTAATATAATCTTTTTTACATACAACACCCATTATATATAAATACTGTATATATAAAATGCAATATTATACAATAACCACATTTATATTGTGCATGTTTGATTTAGCTGTGAAATCCCTTGCTTAAAACAGGTTAATTTTTAGTACATGTTCTGGAATTCAGTAACAAAACAGTCATTCTGAGTGAAAACTGATAACAATAGTTTTAAAACAAAATTTTCTGAGAAGTACTTTAGGAATGACTAAAAGACTGAAGGATTATAAATAGAAATTTTGTCTGATCAAGAAGGATCAGTTTTTTATTGTCTAAGAATTATCAACCCCATATCAGGGAAAGCAGGAAAGTACTGGGAATTTTACATTCAACTACTACTTTATAGTACATCAGATTATCCCCTAATAAAGTTCAGTCAGTTTCATGAGAAAATTATCACAGTATAAATACGAAGCAGACATTTCCCTAATTTGCACATATATTGTTTGTAGCTCATGTTACAGAAGTTGTACTTGATGTAAATGCAAACTCTAAAAGGGAAGAAAAAGAAGATGTGCCTTGACAAAGGAAGTGCTACAGCATGTTGGCATTTTTCCAAGTGACTGCCTTTTACCACTTATCTAAACAAGAGACAATATAAGGTGTTATTATGAAGTACACAGGAACCCATGAACCACAAGGCACTGTATAACAACCCGAATATGTAGCTCAGCCATTATGAGAAGCCGGCAGAGCTGCTTGGGCAGAGGCAAGAGAGCTTGGGGCAATGCCACGGTTTGTGGGTGGCCAACAAGCACCTCTGTGACCCCTGGAAGAGGCTGCTGCCCATGGGTGCAAAGCCAGCACTGCAGAGAGACACAGGTCTGCTCTGGCTCCAGAGCCAGCCTGAGGCCACAGCTCGGGGCACATTTGCCCACAGACAACTCTGGGCACTTGAGCTTGATGCAGGAGAGCTGTAAATTGAGCTGTGCCAATTCCAGCGATTATAAACCAGGCAGCTACATTCATGAGGTCAGATGGGATGGTCAGAACAGCTTCTGGCCTCAGAATCTCTGCACACAGAGGTATCTTCTGTCTGGGCTCTGACAGGGGGAATTCCAACAGGCTAGGCTGGAAATGATGGGGTTTTCTCACATTAGAGGCACACAGATCACAGTGCCAAGAAGAAAGACGTGTAGTTTGCCTACTGATGTTGCTATGTCATGGCCTAATTCAAGGTGGTAGGAAGACCTGGGAAGCAGGGAACTAAAGGAAGACACTTAGAGATGTCAGGGCAATGGAGCTCACTGCACTTTCTGCTTTAGCACCTCACATACTTTCAGAGAATGATGAGGATTTACACCTATACAGTAAATTATAAAAAAATTGAATATAGGAAAAAAATTTACACTACTTTCTATTAATTCAAGTAACCACAAAATCACAATTTGTGAATGCAGTCCTTCAGATATCTATCACAGGCCATTTTATCTGCTGGATCTAGTAAGGGAAAAATACAAACACCAATGCCAGAAAGCAAAACAGTTTCAACAGTTCAACTAGCCCCTAACTAATCTGACAGCATTTTTTGCATTCTATTGTCTCCAGCTTCAGCACATTTTTAAGAAAGATCAAACAGAAGAGAAAAAAAAAATCCTTTTTTTTGTTCAAAACACAGTAGAGAACACATGCAGCTTTGATAATTTGTAAGTTTCTAGGTATCAAAATCCTGCAGAGAGTATTTACTGAATGAAATACAGATGGGATGAGTTGCATGTGTGAAGACAACAGAAAATACAAAAGACCCACTTGTAGCCACTCTGAAAATGTTCTTGTAAAAATCCAGGGAACTCAACTGTAGTGCAAGACTCTTTTCTGTGGGTCAGCCTTATTGTTTGGTATTTCAAAGCAAGAAAGCAAACTAAATGTTTTTTCAGTAGCTTTAGTTTCTATTCATCACAGAACAACCAGATCACAATATAAATGAAGTCAACCATTTACTGCTTATCCAGACAACGCTTCTGAAAGAGATGATGTCATCTCCAAGTGCCAGATGTCTAGCATAAAAAAAAAATAACAACCAGCAAACCCAAACCTATATTTTTTTTTCTCTGTCATTTTGAGAAAGTTCTCTGTGTGTAATCCTTAATGATCAGATTTTTTAATATACTTTAGCATGAGCAAGCTAACAATGCAATTTGCTAATGGCCCTTCCTTGCTGCAAAGCTCAAACCCTTAGCCTCCTTCACGGTTAATTGAGCAGGGATGGCTATGTACACTTCAGACTGCAGAGAGTGCAAACACAGCATGTTTGAGTGCACATTAAATTTCTCTGGAAACAAAGTAATTTCAAACATCAAGGTAACTTCTGAAGCCTGTGCTAGTATCTGGTGTTAGATATAAACATTTTAGTCAGGGACACAAACAATAGGAGAACTTTTACCCTGAACATGACCACCAGGAAAGCTCACAGTTGAAATTTTGGATGGCTAAAACATTAATTCAGTTTATTACAGGAAGATTAACAGGTTTTTGATCCAAAACCTTCCAAGCATCCTAGTTAGCCATCTGAACAGAAAGGAAAAGGCCTTTCACTCATCGAGGTAGCCCATTTCACTACAGGCTAAGGAACATTAATATCAGCCTGAGACATGAAACAGCCTGAGCACTTCTGTTCTCCAAGTATAGTATTTCAACTTTCAAGGCTAACATTTCAGACTTTTTCATAAACACTGAATTAGAATTTTAAAAGTAGAAATACTCTAAGTGAAATCGTGAGTCCAATGGTTATGTTTTATTACACCTACAAATACGGGCTCTAGTTTGGAAGATGCCCTATTAACTTGAAACTTTTTAACACGTAAAATACTATCACAACAAAATCAAGGTGTAAGAGAAAGGGAGAGAGCCCACCATGCCTTTGATAATCTCATAAGGACAGTAGAGATACTTATCCACTAACTGTGCATTATCATCAGTATTTCTATCATTTCCCATAGGAGAAAACCAGAAAGACTATTAACCTAAGAATGCTAGAACAGAAAATAAGTTAATGAGTAATCAAATCTACTCATAAAATTTAGTCCAAGAAAAGTTTGTGTGAGCCTTTTGTATCCCACAAGCCTATCATTTACACACTATAAACTGCTTAAGTAGAGCACATTTGCTCCTTAAGCATGGAAAGAATGAATTACAGCATTTGCATGAGTCTGAGCAGTTGTTTGCTAGAGATCCAGTTCCCCAAATTATCTCAAAGCCTGTGAATTAAAAGTTATGCAAGAAAAAGCAACAGAAGTAATTCTCTATATAGCCCTTCTATTTCAGGATCAAAGTCTTAATTAGCACTAAGTACTCGTTCTTGCTTATAACTGAGAGAATGCGTTCACTTCTGCAACTGCACATGCTTTTTGTCAGCCTGTAAATTCACACAGCACACAAAATCCAAACAACAAAAAGCCTCAAGCTCTTTCCTTGCACTGATTTTAGTGATGTAGTTTGGAGCCCAAACAGCAGAGCAGACTGGAGAAGACTTTCCAAGAGATCAACACTGATGCTGGATTTCTGTGATTCATTTTCACACTGCAAACAGCAGAAGAGCAAGGCTTATAAAGATAGTAAGTTTTCCCTTTGACTCCATCTTATCTTAAATGTTTTGAAGCAAGTCTAAACTTGACATAATTTAATAAACACCTCAAAAGTATATAATGAGCTAGACATGCATGATTGTGGTGGTGTATCGTCCCTCTCCCGGGTGGGAGAAATTATCTGAGAAATGCTTATTAGGCCTCAGCAGAAATTAAGAAACTTTTCTCTCAAAGCTATTAATGAGTAGCCAGGAGCAACGCTCCAGTAGATCCCTCCCTCAAAGCTGAGTTCTGTAATCAGGAAAACAGAGGTAATGAAGTAGCACCTATTTGAACAAAAAATCCCATTTTTTTACACGCATAAAAAAAAATCAAACAACATAAGAAAACATAAGAGACTGTGCCACAGAAAAACTCAAAGCATATATTTCAGTAGAGGGGACCATATTGTTTCAGAGGGTAAAATGTCATATCTCTGTTACACTGCAGATTATCCAACTGTACCAAGGAGTTTCCTCTGGTGTCTGCTTCTCAGTTTGAAAAGCCAATGTGCTTTCGATTATCAGCCACATCTGAGGCACTGTGTAAGCTGACAGTACTTTACAGCATGGGTAAGTTGACAAGGTAAGGGAAGGCTACTGACCTCTGTAATCACAGTAAAGAAAATGGTAAAGATGAGATTGCTAACTGTGAAGTTTGTGTACCAGCTCAGACCAGTAATAGGACCTTTGCAAAGTCTTATAAATACCAGCTTCACTCAGTATAAAAAAGACTGAAATACAAGACATTAAAATGCTTGCTTCTCAAAAACAATCAGAAGAAAAGTGGTTAAGAGTTTGTACAGTAATTAAAGTCTGAAATCTAGTTTTTCCTGGTTTTGCTTAGAGGTCAAACCTTGGTGTTCTTAAAATTGCTTATACTGAGAACCTTGGGTTGAGAAGAAAGCCAGACATTTTAGCGACTGAGGAATTTAGCCTCCTGTGTCAGTAGTTTCATATTCATGCAGTCTTTTATCAATATCAGTTGATGTGGGTGCTCATTAGGAATCTTCTTTTTCTCCCTTCCTCTGTGGTAACAAGAGATATAGACCTGGTTGGAGTAGTAAGTGCAGCAGTATTAGAAGCTGTATTAT